AAGAAATTGTTTTAAAGAGGCTGGGGATGTGGCTCACTGTGGAGGCCCGGGGTGGGGGTGGGGGGGTGTTGGGAGGGAGAGAGAGAGAAATAGAGAGAAAAGGAGAAAAAGAAAAGAAAGGAAGGATTATAGTATTCACTAATAATTTCTTTGTTTTCTAGACAGGGTCTCACTACATGGTCCACTTCTAAAGGAACATTACTTCATTGAGAATTAAAGAGGAAAATAAATTATTCACGCCCAGTGTGATGACACACACATGGAGTACTGTAGCCCCAACACTCCTTTTAAAGAAATATTTAGCTGGGCATGGTGGTACACACCTGTGATCCCCCCACTCTGGCAACTGAGGCAGAAGGACTGAAAATGTGAGCCTAGCCTGGGCAATTTATTGAGACTTGGCCTTGAAATAAAAAGAAAATTTTGTGTGAAATAAAAAATTTAAGGGCTGGGGATTTAGCTCAGTGGTGCCATGCCTGCCTTGCAAGTGCAAGGTCCTGAGTTTGATCCCTGGCACCAAAAATAAACAAATAAATAAATAAATAAATTTAAATAGGGCTGGGGATGTGGCTTAGTATGAAGTCCCTGGGTTCAACCCCTAATATAAAGTAAATAAATAAAATATAAAAAATAAAGAGAGGGAGAAGATTTTTGTCTTCTCGAATAATTCTTTTTTTTTTTTTAGTTTTTTTGAAATGGTTTATCTATGTAGCTCAGGGTGGGCTTGAACTTGCTATGTAGCCCAGGCTGGCCTCAAACTCATGCCAATCCACCTGCCTCAGCCTCCCAAGTGCTGGGATTACAGGCATATACCATCATGCTTGACTGAAAATTATTTCTTTTTCTTTTTTTTCCCCAGTACCAGGGATTGAACTCAGGACCTTGTACTTGAGAGGCAGGCATGGCGCCATTGAGCTAAATCCCAGCCCTGAAAATTATTTCTTATAAAACAGTTAATTTTAAAATTTTGACACTGTTATAAAATGTCATTTAGCGAAAACATGATTCCAGGGCTTAAGCTTCAAATCCATTATTAATGGGAATTATATAGTATTTTTCAGTGACCCACACTAATTTATAAACTGAATGGGGAAAGATTTTCTCCAAGTGATTTTCAAACTCATTTAAAAAGTATAAATAGGAAAAATTGCATTTAGTTTCAAATTTCTCTGATAAATGAGGATTGCAAAGTGTAAGTGAAACTGAATCTATAACTTGAAGCTAAACTGTCTGTATTGGTCAGCTTTCCCATCACTGAGACACAATATCTGACAGCCACAATTTAAAGGAGGAGAGGTTTAATTTGGCTCATGGATTCAGGGGATTCAGTCCATGGCTGGCTCCAGGGTGGGAACAGCATGGTGGAAAAGAGCATGGCAGAGCAAATCTGCTCTGTTCATGGCAGCTGGAAAGCAGAACAGCACCAGAGACCAGATATAGTCCCCAAGGCCACGCCTCCATGACTCATCCAAACACACCCAGAAGTGTGATTGACTAAACTGTTTTGTGTTTCATAATCAACCAAGATGAGGTATCTTGATTTGCAAGTGCTCAAAAGGTGCTGGATCCCAATCCAAGGAGTAATCACCTCGTTGGGGTGAAGGAGGCAGAGGAAAGATCAGCTAAGTGCTCCCAGAAAGAGAGCTGACTTGTTCAGCTGTCTTCAACACTTCCATAGTGGAGACGCCACCCCCACCTCCACTATATATGCTATATATATGCACTACAAATATATATGCTCCATCAGAGCACTGTCTTAAGATGTTACGAAGGAAGGCTGAAGGTGTAGCTTAGTGGGGAAGCATGTGCTTAGCCTGCTCTGTAGCCAGGGTTCAAACTCCAGCAGCATGCACACACACACACACACACACACAAAATTAAATGCTATTAAGAAAATTAATGTTTACTCTAAAAATGCTTAGCTCTCAGAGCTTCTCTTTAAAGGAAGAATAGAAAATTTGATTGCTGAAGTATTCAACTGACTTTTTACCTTTAAAAAAAAATCAAAAGAATACATGGCATGGTCGTGCCTGCCTGTATCAGCTCTTGGAAGTTTGAGGCAGAAGGATTGTGAGTTTGAGGTGAGTGTGTGCTATATACAGAGGTCAAGGCTGGCCTGGATCACATAGTGAAATCCTATCTTAAAAAACCAAAAAGGGAAAAAGAGAGGGAAAGAATGAGGGAAGGAGGGAAGAAAAGAAGGAAGGAGGGCTGGAGATGTAGCTCAGTGGCGCCCCGTCGGCCTGGCAAGCGCAAGGTCCTGAGTTCGATCCCGATCCCCGGTACCAAAAAAGAAAAGAGGGAAGGAAGGAGGCAGGATACAAGGAAATACAAAGAAATGTATGGCCAGCTGCTCCTGGAGGAACAGTAATTTTCCTGTCTTCACAAGGTGTTCAAAGCCTGACCATCACTCCAATAATAACACCTTGAGGACGCAACCCCGAGGTACTTCAGCCCAAAACCACAGAGGTGATTACCCTCCTGGGGCTCATTTGGGTAACACTCATCCCCCATTAGAGGTATGTTTTCTGACACTGGAGTGCTAAATTGGAGACTTGTCTTGCTAATGAGTCACCTTGGGTGTCACCTGTGCCTGTCCACACCAGTGGCTCAGGAATACGGAGCGAAGCGGGGTGGGTGTGAGTGTCAGATCGTGCTGGTGGCAAGATGAAGGACGCACATGATGGTGCTGAATGTCACCTTCCTCAGTACCGAGGTCAATAAATCCTGTACCAGGAGTTTGCAAGCAGTGGGGTTCCACTTCATTCCGCTCTGTGACACTGTCCTGTTAGTTTCCTGGGCCTCCAGCACCAAATTCCATCAGCAGAGTGATTTCAGGTCATAGAAATGTATCCTTCCAGGGTTCTGGGGGCCAGGTGTGAAAGCAAGGAGTTGCCAGGCTGTGCTGCAGGGCTGCAGGGAGCTCTGCTCGGCTCTGCCAGCCGCTCCCAGCTCCAGCGAGATCCCAGGCTCAGCCTCTGCCTCCACAGGACCTTCTACCGGTCTTTCCTGCTGTCTTATCAACACCTGTTGGACTTGGAGTTACTGGGAAATTCAGGATGATCTCTTCTTGAGAATCTCCCCTGGATTACATCTGCAAAGACCTTCTATTTCCTTTTTTGTTGTTGTTGCTGTTGTTGGTTTTTTGTTTTTGTTTTTGTTTTTTTTTCTGAGACAGGGTCTCCCTAGGTAGTTCAAACAGGTCTCAAACTTACTATGTAGCCCAGGCTGCCCTCGAACTCACAGCGATCCTCCTGCCTCAACCTCCTGAGTGTTGGGATCATACCACACCCAGGGATTTAACCAGTTTTTAGTGTACAGTTTAGTGGCAATGAGTACAATGACACTGCTGTGAAATCATCACCATTTATCATCTCCGGTACTTTGTTGTTACTTCCCAAACTGAAATGCCACACCCAGGAGACACTAAACTCTGCATCTTCCCTGCCCCAGTCCTAAGCAACCACCGTTCTGTTATTCTGGGTGGGTTTTTTTGTTTTGTTTTGGTTTGGTATGGTTTTTTTTGGTACCGGGGATCGAACTCAGGTCCTTGCACTTGTGCAGCAGGCGGCAAAAGCACTGAGCTAAATCCCTGGCCCTTTTTTTTCCTTTTTTCCCCTCCAGTACCAGGAATCAAACTCAGGGCTTTGCACTTGCTAGGCAGTCACCACTGAGATACATCCCAGCCCATGTTATTTTGGTTTTTTGCAACATGGGGATGGAATCAGGCCCTTTGCCCTGAACTACATCCCCATCCCATTTTTTATTTTTTGAGACAGGGTCTCACTAAGTAGCCCAGACTAGGCTTGAATTTATGATCCTCATGCCTCAGCCTCCTGGAGTGCTGGGATTAGAGTGTGCACCACCGTGCCCTGCCCTTTTTTTTCAAAGAAGAGAACATTTAGGGAGCTGAAGGAGTAGGATATGACATTCCTTTTAGGGGGCCAACACTGAACCAACTATAACTGTTAAGTCTAAATATTCATTCCATTGTGTTATGCAACAAGTTAGACATTAGCAGGCTTGGAGACAGGCAGCTAGGAGCTACATGAAAAGCATAAATGTGATTTAGGTTTTCCTTATTTCTTTCCTTCCCTAATCATTAGCTATAGATAAATGCAAAGAACCCAATGGTTTCAAACTGCAGCCCCAGAGAATGTAACCTCCTGTGAGCCTGTTCAGGGCCTTGGGCGAGGGGTTGGAAGAAGCCTGTGGGTCTTACAACAAGCTAAACAGAAACATTCCACACAGGGAGGAGCAAATAGGAAACGTCTCCCCTTTGAAGTTGGTCAAAATAGCCCATTTTCCTTGTAAAAAGCCCTCCAAGGAGGGAAGTGATATTCCTTACAGACCCATTTAATCATATAAATGTAGCCTAAGTTTTCTCTTGTTTTTGGTACTGGGATCAAACTCAGAACCTTGCGCTTTTGAGGCAGGCAGTGGCACTAAGCTAAATCCCTAGCCCAGCATAGCCTAAGTTTTAACTCAGCACAGCTACCATGTTAGCTCCTTCCCACCCACTCTGGAAGGAGCAGTGTCTCTCTCACTCTGAAAGTCTGTCTTAGTCACTTCTCATTGCTGGGCCTCAGATCCCATACACAACTTGGAGGAGGAGAGGCTTATTTTGGCTCATGGTTTCAGTCCATGGTTGGCTGCTCCAAGGCAGAAAGTGTGGCGGGGGAGCATGGCAGAAGAAAGCTGTTCCACCCATGGCAGGCAAGAAGTAGAGAGCAAAAGGAGAGCCAGAGAGAGAGATAGACTCTTCCAGGTCAGCCTCCAGTGACCCGGCTCTTCTGACCAGGCCCCAGCCCTCCCTGTGGCACATTAGCTGTGAGCTAATCGGTAGAATAATCACTGAAGTGTAACACCTACACATTCCAACTGCCTTCCACAAGCCCCACTTCTGAAAACGTGAGAATTTGAGGGGACAGTCTAGAGCTAGACCATAACATTCTGCCCCTGACCTTCAAAAGACTCATGTCCATCTTATTAGGCAAAATTACCTTAGTCCATTTGTAAGGGTGGCCAAAGTCTTAACAGTTCCATTATTGGCGAGATTCCAACTCCAGCCTCCTCTGAGATCAAGGCAAACTCTTAGCTGTGAGACTCTGTAAAAAATAAAAAAGAGAATTAAACACTTCTAATATACAATGGCACAGGTCAAATATTCCCATTCCAAAATGGAGAAATAGGAGGATATAAAGGGATGGGACCAGGGCTGGGGATTTAGCTCAGTGGTTGCGCCACCTGCCTCGCAAGCTCAAGGATCCGAGTTTGATCCCCAGTACAAGAAAAAGGGGGGGATGGGACCAAAGCAAGACCAAAACCCAGGAGAGCAAATATTAAATCCTGTAGTTCCACATTCAGCACCTGCAGCGTGCTGTGGTGAGATGCCAGCTTCAAAGGGCTTGCGCAACTCCACTGCGATGGCATTGGAGTTTACAGCCCTCATGACCTTTCTTTTGGGGTGACTTTGCTCACTACCTGCAGTTTTCCTCAGCAGGCATTCCACATTACTGGGATCTCTAACTTCACGGGGTCTCAACCACACATTTGCCTTCATTCTCAAAACTTCACATACTGCCCTCCCAGGGGCACATAGCCTGGCCTCCTACACCTTCTAATTTTTGAGTAGCAGCTTCCATGAAGGCATAACTGTTTCATTTTGCCTGTAAAACCAGTGCCATGTGGATGATGTCAAGATCTGCCACCAGGTCATGCAGTAGTCAGGCCCTCTTGAATCATGGCTGGGCTGCAGAAGCCTCTGAATGCCTAGATGGCTGAATACTGTGAAAAAAATCCTGGGGAACCTATTCTATAGGCAGCTCTTCTCAAGCAAGGGGCCCAGGGACTCTTCTCAAATGAAAGCTTTATTGTTTCAGATTCTTGAGCCTGCAAAGAGTGGGATTTTGCTGATTCCTGAGATGCCCTCAAGTCATCCTTCCTGATGCAAAGTATTGACTGAAATTTTTTTATTATTATTAATGCACATTATAGAGAAACTTTATATAGGTTCTGTGATATACATGATCATAAATATATACATACATCATTTTACACACACCACATACAGTTGGCCTTTTGAATCTATAGATTCTGCATCTGCAGATTCAAGTATTCTCGGAATTACCCAGCCATGGATGCAACTAAAAAAACTGCACCTGTAGTGAACATGGACCAAATTTCTTATTAGAAGCACCCTAAACAATGCAGTGTAACTATTTAAATGGAATCTCTACTGTAGCAGGTACTATGAGTAACCTGGAGATGATGTGAAAGTCTACAGGAGATAAGTGGATTTCAGTGCAAATGGTCTGCAGGGTACAGCAGCAGAGGGGTTTGGTATCGCAGGGTCCTGGCCCGGACCTAGCCGGCACTGTGGGATCCATGCACCCTTTCCCAGCCCAGCCTCCTCGAAGCTCATAGCAAGGGCACAGGTACCCAACTAGGTGCAGCCCATATACACACCTGCCAGGGGCTTTTCTATCCAAAGATCTACATCTAGAAGCAGCACAGTTGTGAATCACAGTTGCCTCTGCAGGACTCAGATACGTAATCAGGAGATCCTGTGTAAAATGAATGTAAACAGACACACAAATAACTTTTGATCATTTTTCCATTTTTTCTTTTCTTTTTTTTTTTTTTTCTTCAGGTACCGGGGATTGAATTCAGGACCTTGCAATTTCGAGGCAGGCAGGGCACCACTGAGCTAAATCCTGGCTGGGCTTTCCTGCTGATGTAACTGGAGATGTTAAGAATTACCTAGGCTGTGACAGCATTGGAAGACATTTCTGGTCCAATATTTCAAAATATAAATTTTAGGCCAGGAATAGTGACACCACCCTAACCCCAGCACTTGGGAGGCCGAAGCAGGGGATCACTGTGAGTCTGAGGCCAGCCTGAACTGCACAGTGAGACCCTTCCTCCAAAAAACAAAACCAGGCCCTGGAAAGCTCAGTGATGCCGTCATCTGCCTTGCAAATGCAAGGTCCTGAGTTCGATCCCCAGTACCAAAAAACAACTATAGGGCCAGGGCTTTAGCTCAGTGGTTTCGTCACCTGCTATGCAAGCACAAGGACTCGAGTTCAATCCCTGGTACCAAAAAAAAAAACAAAAAACAAAAAAACCCAACTATATACATATATATATATGAATTTTAGTACATGTATATTGCTACCCACTTAGGTTCATACAATCAAGTTTGCTCAAGGCTCAACAAGTCAAAGGGCATTATTTTAGTAAAAAGGAGATAAGGTTTATTCAAACCCAGCTCCAAGGGGAAGACAAAGCCCACTGTCTCTAATCAGCACCTCACCCCACCTTACCCACACAGCTTTTTAGGGTCTATCCTAGCAAGGCACAGGGGGCGGAACACCAGGAGACAACAGACCCTCAGGTTACTTCCGCCCCTTCCTGGAGGGGAACCCCCTCCCTTGCCTAAGGGAATGAAATTGGGCCTGACCTCCTGGTTCCAGGATGTGGGCATTCCATGAGGAGGGGAGCCGTGTGTCCCCTAGGCTTGAGGAAGTTGAAAAATGCTGCTGGTCTCTAAAGAGAAAAAAAAAAATCTAACTTTTTTTTTTTTTTTTAGGTACCGGGGATCGAAAAAAATCTGACTTTTAAAGTTCAGTTTTGCAGTGCTGGTTACCTATATAGCTGATGAATATCAACAAATAATTTTCCCCAAATTTTTTTTATTTCGAGACAGTCTCACTTTGTAATTCAGGCTGGCCTTGAGTTCACTAATTTAGCGGAGGCTGGCCTCAAACTCCCAGTGATCCTCCTCAGCCTCCCCAGTGCTGGGATTACAGGAGTGCAAAGATGCCCAGCTTAAAGAGATTCAAATCTTCTAAAAAAAAAAAAATCAGTCTTGTACAAGTCTAAATTTATTTTTGTTTTGTTTTTTGGGGTTTTTTTGTACTGGAGATCAAACTCAGGACCTTGTGCTTGCAAGGCAGGTGAGGTGCCACTGAGCTAAATTCCTGGCCCCAATTTCTGGGGGGTTTTGTTTGCTTGTTTGTTTGTTTAAGAGTAGGAAAAATTGATTAGGAAAAAGAAAGCTTCTTCCTAAGAGAGACAGAAGAGGGACCAGAAAGTGGGTTGCCCTTTCTGGGGTTTTTGAGACAAGCTTGCTATGTAGTCCAGGCTGGGTCTGAATTTGCAATCCTCGGGCCTCAGTCTCCCGAGTCAAACTTAATTTTAAACAGAAATGTATATAATGGCATTTTAATGCTTTCTCTGATGTTTGCTGTACCTTGTGGAGGCTGTGTAGGAAATCTAAAGCAGCCTCATGATTTGTACATAATTCAGAACACTTGTTTTTGTATTCTATGGTAACATCTGCAGTTACAGAGGGAAATCCATTTTAAAATTGCTTTCCTTGTTAATAATTGGTCCATCCAAAATATAAGGGCTGTTTTTCCATTGGCTGTGATGCTCTTTCACGTCACTTCTAAGCCTGTGGATATTCACTTCACAATGTTATAGCCATTTTCAAAATCTCAGATTCTCACTCAGGAGGCTGAGACAGGAGGATCCACATGAGTTCAAGGCCAGCCTGAACTACATTGTGAGACTCTGTCTCAAAACAACCAAACCAACCAATCAAACAAAAACACCTGAGATTCTAAATTCACAGCATTCTTGTAAACTCTGCAACACCAGATGGCAGTGTCTAGGTAAAGCTTTGGATCTGTAATAATGTACTGTTTGCGGTGTGAGATGGTATGCTCCTAGAACAGCCAGGAGCTCCTCCTGTCTGAGGCTGCAGCTACCTCTCCTCTGCGCCCTGAAACGGCTCTCCATGGCCCACGCCGGTGCCAACATCTGCACCCTGGGGGCCAAGGAATTGCTCCAGAGGTGGGGGGGGGCACAGGCTGCAGTCTGCCCTGCTAGGGTCCTCTACCACAGAGCCCACTTCACCTACACAAGCTGGAAGCTACAGCAGGCATGGTGGTGCACACCTGTAACCTCAGTGATATAGGGCACCAAGTAATCCACATAAGCAAAAATAATCCAGACAAGGGAAATATTATAACTCCCAACCTGCTAGATATCCGAAATGCAAGTTCATGTTCTCTAAAGTTGAGAGTGAATTCTAGGAACAATGAAGGTTAAGAGTAGAAAAAATTGGGCTGGGGATTTAGCTCAGTGGTTCTGCCACCTGCCTTGCAAGTACAAGGTCTCGAGTTCAATCCCTGGTACCAAAAAAAAAATGAGTAGGAAAATTTTATTGAAAGATAACTTCTGTCTGAGACAGAAGGGGGACCAGAAAGTGGGTTGCCTGCCCACCCTGCTTCTCAAAGGTGTTTTATGGGGCAAAGACATGAGGTGAGGTGGGTACAAAGTGGGACAGAACTATAAGATACAACGGAAAATCACAAGGTGGGCATGAGGGGGGACCAAACCATGATCAACCAATAAGATCACAAGTACAGTCACCAAGGTAATACTGATTAAATGGGGATCAAAGTCACACAGGAGGAATTTCTGGAAAGGAAATAGGCTAGGGAGATTGATGTCTATTTAGAATATCAATCAGTGCTATTCATCTCTAGGGGAAGTAGTACCTCTTCTCTTTTTATAATGCTAACCAGTGAAACTGCCTCAATTCTTTTTCTATACTGAGGGTCTAGCTTTGTCTAACTGCCTTATAATAATTCCTAACTAATTTAGGAATCTAATCTGCAATACCAGCACTCCAGAGGCTGAGGCAGGAGGATCCCCACCAGTTTGAGGCCTCCCTGGGCTATATAATGAGTTCAAGGCCAGCCTGAGCTATACAGTGAGACCTTGCCTCAAACAAGATACAATTACTACAAGTTTTAAGCCTGTGGAGCACTAAACCAAGTTTGAGGGTATTCCCGAGGAGGAGGGGTTCTTCCAAGCCCATAGAATGATGAGGGGCTCAGCAGGGGAGGGGCGCCCCCTTGTGTTGAGTCCCGCTACACATTGCTCGTAAGTGGAAAGAGAGGAACTGGGGACTTGAGTGGGGAGGTTAGGCTGTGTGCCCTAGGTTGCTTTGCCTCTCTAAGCTGTGGCTTCCTTCCTCGTTTATACTAAAAGCACAGCACTGTGTCCCTGTTGGCATCCTGGCTTTGAGCATTGCACCCTGGCCAAGCAAGACATTAACTTTAGGGAAGGCCAGGTAATAGATTGTTAGAAACTGCCCCTGGTATATCTGCGGCTTTTCTGGAATTATAAAGTGTTCTCCCCAGCAGATGATTGGGAAGGAAAGGAGGGCGCACCCTGTGTTGGGATAGAATGCACAGGCAGGAGCTGGAGCTGGCGTCTACTCCAGGTTTGTTTTCTATTTTGTTTTTTGAGACAGGGTCTCACTATGCAGTTCAGGCTGGCCTTGAACTCATGGTGATCCTCCTACCTCAGCCTCCTGTGCCACCACCCCTAGCTCAGAGTGATAATAAAAGTCCCAGTCAAGAGAACACCCAAGTGCATGTCGCTGCTGCTGGAGTTAAGACAGTGATGGTGTAGCATTTACTTAACTTTAATGTGCTTGGGCCGGGGATTCAGCTCAATGGTTCCCTTCCTGCCCTGCAAGCGCAAGGACCCAAGTTCAATCCCTGGTACCAAAAAAAAAGATACTTTAGTGCGCTTAAACAGGTGCATATCTTCAGTCTCCGGGAGGTTGACTTTCCCAGGACAAAGGGAAGCCCTGGAAGGGCTTCTCCCTTCCAAGGTTTGAGTTGGGAATGATGGATTCTGCAGGCAGCTCCTAGAACCTTCATGGCTCGAAGGAAGAGACCAATACAGAGAGAGTTGTTCACTTGGAAGTTAACCACTGACCTTTCAGGCCTCCCCAACAGGTGCTAACAGAGGTAGAGTTTTAAGCTAATAGAAAGCTTTTAAATATAAGAGGAGTCCAGTTAGGCCCAGCAAGCCTGGGCTCCACAGTGAGTTCAAGAAGGTGTCCCCAGCATTTGGTCACAAGGTCCCATCACTGTCCATGTGCCAACCAGGGTCAGAAACCAACTGTCCAGGACAGGCATAGGAACAGAATTTGGTCCCACTGTGAAGGGTAAGCCTGTGGTCTTCCCTGCAGTATCCCTGCAGTGTCACCTGAGGCCCCATACCTCTGGTGGGGATCAGGCCATCAGGAGCCTGGGGCCTGCTCATTCCAGAGACACACCTGGGGTTCTGCACGGGCTTCCTCCAGGCCTTGGGACAGTGATCCTCAGTGACCCGTTCTGCCATTCAGGGAAGGAGACTGAAGAGGGTGCCTACAGTAGGGCAGTGTCTTCCAGTGGTGTCTGCCAGCAGGCATGACACCCAGCAGGTAGCTCTCTTCTGGTGGGGAGGAGCCAGCAGGAAACACTGGGGGCCTCATAATGCAGCAAGAAGATTCATGCTCCTCGGACTCTCTGTCACTTAATCTTAGCTTGTTTGCCTCTTTGTTCCTCCTCTGTACTCTAGTTATAAAAAAAAAAAAAAGAATTAGCAGGATTCAGTAGGTCATCAAAAGGAGTTTCAGGTCCCAAAGAGTGGCTTTTGTTTTCTTGCTGCTGTTGTTTGCAGTTTTCCCCTAAAGTCTGGGGCTGACTGGGTAAGAAATCTGTCTTTAGGAGGACTTGCCCCTCATCGGAGTGAGAGTCTCATAGCTTCCCCGGGTCATCCAAGCAATGCTGTCAGGTCTTCCTTTGGGTCTAGATCTACATTAGCTAGTTTAGTGTCATTTACTGGTGTGATTTTACTGGCTTTTCACCCTTCTAGAATGCAAATTATAAAGTAGCTGGATTTTCACCTATCTTTAGGGTCATTATAATCCCACATCCATGGGGATAGCCTCAAGTCCTGTCAGATATTCCTTACCCAAAATATGTACTCATTAGCATAACAGATGGCCCTTAGAATTACTCAGGACCTTTCTTTCTTTTTCTTTTTTTTTTTCAGTTTTTTGAAACAAGGTCTCACTAGGTAGTTCAGGCTGGCCTTGAACTCACTAGGTAGCCCAGGCTGGCCTTGAACTTTTGGGCGATCCTCCTGCCTCAGCCTCCAGAGTGCAGGGGTTACAGGTGTGCGTCAGCATGTCTGGCTTCAGGACCTTTCTGAATCTGTAAAAGTCTGTCCTTTGACATTGATATTCTTCCAAGATAGTTCATAACTATGAATGACGTAGCAGAAGTGTCTATATATTTCTCAGGATCATCTGAAAAATGATCCAAATCCTGTCTGGTTTGCTGGAGATTCTCCATAGAGAAACACTGAGCTCCAACAGGTCCGGATTCCCTCTGCAGCTGAGGAGGGCACAGATGTGAGGTCAGGGGCACCACAGGGACCCTGGGCAAGGAGGATGGGCCCTGTTTGAGTTCTGTGTGAGGACTTCGTAGTCTTCTGACTGGGAGGTGGCTCAAGACAGCAGATCACCCGCACAAGGGGATCCATTCTAGCCATGAGCCCATTGCTGCTGGATCCAGTTTACCTTGGGAACATAAATTGGAATTAACCAATAAGGCAAAGGAAGCTCTGGCCATTTTCCTGCCTTTTTGTAAAAGATGTAACCAGCATATGGTATCATAATTAATACTTCTATTGCTTGGCTAGTTCTTTTCATGTCTCAACTTATACTGGGGCCATGCAATATTACCAAAAAAAAATCTTGTTTTTCTTAAGTGTTTGGGGTCAAACCTATCCCTGTTTGGGGTTTTTTTTTGTGGTACTGGGGATCAAACTCAGGACCATGTGCTTGCGAGGCAGGCACTGCACCACTGAGCTACATCCCCAGCCCAAACCTATCCCTGTTGTGTAGGATGCATCTGAGAGGTGAGTCAAAGGGAACTGGTGGGAATTAGCCATCTGCAAGGAAAGCGTGCGCACAGGCTCGAAAAATGTCTCCTGTTTGAGAGGAAAAAAAACCCCAAATTGGTATGGGAGCAAAAGGCGGGTCCTTTTTCTCCACCTACAGCCTTAGGATTGGGTGTGTCTTGCCCTAGTCCCAGATCCGCGGTCAGTCTCAGGTACTGACCTCTGTGTCCTCTTTGTAATCAATGAATGATTAAGGGGATCACTCTGCAAATGATGCGCTCACTTGCACCCTGCCAAATATCTGTAGGGATGGAGCCAACTTTCATTTCCCAGTGTGTACACGGAAGTAAGCCATCTGACATCCACCAAAACACTGTAGCTGTCTTAGAACCCACTGGCATAAACCACACTTATCAATACTCTATACAGGAAAAACTCTGGACATGGGATTATCACAATAAAGTGAGCAAAGCTTATTAAAACTATGCCCTCTTCTGACCAAAAATGTGTTCTCCTGAAATGGCAGATGAGACAACAAACAACTCCAAACCCTAGGAATGGTCACTGGTACATTATGACAATAAGCCTAGTGGACAGAAAACAAGTGGCATGTCGTCGTGAGCATGATGACTATAAATTACCCAATCCAAGGCACAAAGTAACATCAAAGCATCAGAACGATCCCAAGCCCTGACTGCTGCAGCACATCATCAACACAAGGACAATGAAAATGAGGGCTCCTGGCCTTAACGAGAGGAGTGAGGGAGAAAATGGGGGTGGGATCTAATCTCACCACGGGTGAATTGAGGACCAAGTCGGGGAACCAAAAAGATGTCATTAGTGCTGGGCATGGTGGTGCACACCTATAATCCCAGTACTCAGGAGGCTGAAGCACAAGGATTACTGACAGTTTGAGGGCAGTTTGGGCTACACAGTGAGACCCTGTCCAAAAAAAAAAAAAGTCACCAAGAAGTAGGATCACCACGGAGAACTAGCCCTCACTTTTCTCAGGACTTTGTGTTTTTGATGAAGGAATTCAGTCAAAACACTTAGGCAATCATGCAGAAGTAGAGAAAGCATAGAAATATTTTAGCAGGTGCATTAAAGTAGCTATAGAGATTTACGCCTTCAAGTGAGAAGGAGACGGCACCACAGGGGCTTCCATCTACACTGAAGTCACTCCAGGGGTTCAGGGAACTAATGTGATTTTTTTTTTTTTGGTACCGGGAATCAAACTCAGGACCTTGCCCTTTTGAGGCAGGCAACAGCACCACTAAGCTAAATCCCTGGCCCTGTCTTCTTTTTTTAACAAAGTTTTATTAAAGATAGGAAAAGAGACAGGCTCTGCAGAGCTTTGGGCCAAGTAAAAGTAGGAAAAGAAGCACACCCTACAGCATGAGGGCAGCCACTATGTGCAAACACAGTGGTCTAAATGTCTTTCCCCTTCAAATGCTCAGGTTCCTTCCCCCAGGGGCCCTAATCAATAAGGACCTAGGAAAGGAATTTACCAAAGACAAATTCTAATTGAAATCACCTCTGGCTCACAGTGGCAGGGTTTTTTCAGAATGGTCCCCTTTCTGGTGTCCTTGGGCCATGGGCTTTGCTAACCAGGAAAGCTATGTGCCTGGTTCTAGAAATGGGGGCCGTATGCTGAGTCCGAAACCTAAAACATGAGGCTGATGATGTAGCTCAGCTGTGCCTCACGTGACTGGCAAGCGCAAGGTCCTGAGTTCGATCCCTGGAGGGGAGGGATTGAAACCTAATAAATGATTATAAATGTATCAGACACTCTGTTACTTTAACCATAACTGGCAAAGCCTGCTGTTTTGGGCCCCCTTGACCCCTGGCCCACTAATGGCTAACCAGATGCCTGATGGCACACTTGCAGTGTTTGCCATTGCTTACCTGACATCCACGAGGTCCCGTTGAAATGTAGTGCAGTGTTTCATAAAGTGTGTAATCGCGGGCCGGGGATTTAGCTCAGTGGTTCCACTGCCTGCCTCGAAAGCGGAAGGACCCGAGTTCAATCCTCGGTACCAAAATAAATAAATAAATAAATAAATAATAAATAAAGCGTGTAATCTCTACTGTGCAATCCCCACTTAGGTGAAATAATGGTACAAAAATATTCAATAATGTGTAAATTATACCAACTAGAAATTACTGTAAATACATATACATATGCAATAATATTATTGTTTGGGGGATTTTTTGTATACTTTTGGGTTTATTTATCTTTCAGTACTGGGGATCAAACCCAGGGTGATTTAGCATGGAGCTATGTAGTACATCACCATGTACCCCCAGGGTATGATTATTTTTAATTATAAATTCTAACGGGAGAGGGACCTAAATTTTTTTTCCACTACTGGGGATTGAACACAGGACTTTTGCACAGAGCTACATCTCCAGCCCTTTTGTGTGTGTGTGTGTGTGTGTGTGTGTGTGTGTGTTTTATGTGATAGTCTCACTAAGTCACTAAGCTGTCCAAGCTTGGCTGGAACTTGGCATCCTCCTGCCTCTCAGCCTGCCACAGTGCTGGGATTACAGGTTAAGTGCCACCACACTCAGCTCAGTACCTAAATTTTTTTTTTTTTTTTTTTTTGGTACTGGGGATTGAACTCGGGTCCTTGTGCTTGTGCAGCAGATGGTGAAACCACTGAACTAAATCCCCGGCAAGTACCTAAATTTTTTACTGCCCCTTCCCCCCCAGTATTGGAAATTGAACACAGGGCATTTGCACAAGCTATATCACCAGTTCTTTTAAAATATTGATTGAGGTCCTAGGAACTGACTTCGGGACCTTCACATAGCTTCTTCAGCCCTTCTTGTTTTATTTTTTTAAATTTTGAGACAGGGTCTTGCTAAATTGCTGAATTGCCCAGTCTGGGCTCAAATTCCTGTCTTAAGTCTCCCAGAATACTAAGACTCCAGGCATGTACAACCACGCACAGCCCCTTTTTAGGTTTGTTTTGGGGGTTTTTTGGTACCAGGCATTGAACTCGGGACCTTGCGCTTGCGAGGCAGGCGGTGGAACCACTGAGCTAAATCCCCGGCCCCCTTTTTAGTTTTTGACTTGAGACAGGATCTCTCTAAGTTGTCCAGGCTTTCCTTGGACTTGGGATTCCCCTGCCTCAGTCTCAAGAGTAGCTAAGATCATAGACTTGCACCACTGGGCCCAGCCTTTTTTCTTTTGGTGTTGGGAGTTGAACCCAAGGCCTCCATCTTACTTTCCTCCCTGTGGGGACCAACACCCACAACTTAAGGGAGAGGTTTGTTTCGGCTCACACTGCAGGGAAGCTTCGGTCCAACAGCTTGGTGTCCGAGAAACAGAGTGAAGGAAGGAACCAAGAAGGCAGATAAACCCTCCAGGCGCTGGCGGGATGACCTACTTCTTCCAACCAGGCTCCATCTCCTATTGAGAGCCAGCTGTAAGCCTCCCTAATCCAATCACCTTCCCAAAGCCCCACCTGTGTGTACCGGAGGCTTCAGGGGACACCCAGATAAAACTGTAATGGGGCTGGGGATTTAGCCCAGTGGTTCTGGCACCTGCCTCGAAAGCACAAGGTCCCAAGTTTGATCCCCGGTACCAGAAAAAGAAAAAAAAACCATAATGGCCAGCTTCCATTTAAAGTACACAATTTGGGCTGGGGATTTAGCTCAGTGGTTTTGCTGCCTGCTGCGCAAGCACAAGGACCCAAATTCAATCCTCGGTACCTAAAAATAAATAAATAAATAAATAAATAAATAAATAAAAATAAAGTACACAATTTGGTAGTTTTTAGTATATTCAGAGTTATCAAAAACCTAATGTTTTTTGAGACAGGGTCTCGCTATGTAATTCAGGGTGGCTTTGAACTCACTATGTAGCCCAGGCTGGCCTCAAATTCTTGGCGATCCTCCTGCCTCAGCCTCTCAAGTGCTGGAATCACAGGCGTGAACCACTATGCCCAGCTCTAAAACTTTAAAATTTTTGTTGTACAAAGGTGCAAAACATGAAAGAATCAATCATTCCTATTTGATTCTAGGAAACTTTTGAGTATTTTCTCTAGTTGTGTCATTATTCTATACAAGCCTTGTTAAAGAGGGTAATTACCAGTGATAAACTTATCTTGAATGAAGGCCCATTAGTAAGCAAAAGAATGTCAGTTTTTTCCCAGTGCTCATTCATCTTCCCTGAAAGGAGACAGAATGCTTCTGAACAGTGATGATTAGATCCAAAATTTATATGCTCTGCTTTATATACTCTTTGATTAATCCATAACACCCAATTACCATTGCTTACCTTTATTAGTAGATTTCCCCAGTGCCATTACACTCCTGACTAATGAAAAAGCTAAGGAGAGTCCATTAACAGTGTGCACAATATTGTTCTAAGTGATGCTGGGAGTTAATTGTCTTCCAACTCTGAAGGCATGGGGTTATACATGGGCCCTACATAAATGAGTCCCTGTAACACACTTGGGGAACACAACACAAAGTGGATGCTCAGGGAATAGGCAGTCATACCATCAAAGCCAGGACCTCTCAAGGGCAAATGGAAGCACTCAGTGTATTTACTGGTATTACACAGCATCCATCTACTTTGCATAGTTAAAGTGATAATTTAAATAAGCCTGGTGCAGTGGCACGTACCTGTAATCTCACCATTCTGAGTAGCTGAGGCAGGAAGACCACAAATTCCAGCCTAACCTAAACAGCTTTGCAACTCAGTGAGACCCTGTCTCAAAAAAAGGACTGGAGATGTAGCTCAGCGTGAAGGCTGTGAGGTCAATTCCCACTACTCCAAAAACTAAATAAATGAATAATATAAACAAGTGACAGGGCCAGGGATGTAGCTCAGGGGTACCACGCCTGCCTGGCAAGCACAAGGTTCTGAGTTTGATGCCTGGTACCAAAGGGGGGACATTTTAAATAATCAAGTTATAATTAAACCTTGGAAGGAATTCTCACCCAGGTTCTTGAAGATTTTCCATTAAAGTCCCTGTAAATAAATAAAGCAAATATTGTCATCTCGGCACCTTTCTTTTTTCCTATTGCAGTGCTGTGGATGGAACCCAGGGCCAGGCTCCTCCAGGCAAGCAGTCTAAGGGAGCTATCCGTGGGGTGCTGCCTTCGAATCCCACCTCCCTGCCCTGGTGTTACACAGCCCGCTCCTCCACAGCCAAATGTTCAAGCATCAGCTGGCCTGCATTTGCCAGCCTCTTACACATTGGGATTTCTGTGCCATTAATTTGTCACTTTTTGACGCATGATCAATTTTCTGATAATTGAAACTGCAGAGGAATGGACAGTGGGTCTTTGTACGCAAGCTGGAAACTAACAACACACAAATGAACCTCCCCACGAACACATCTCTCATCACCAAAACCTCCCCGAATCTCTGCATGAACTGGTGGATGACGTTATAAATAAGTGAGCTGTGAGGCCAGGGATTTAGCTCAGTGGTTCTGGTGCTTACCTCGTAAGCGCAAGGTCCCAAGTTCGAACCCCGGTACCAAAAAAAAAAAATATATATATATATATATATATATAAATAAGTGAGCCTCACAAGAGTGTCTTCCAAGAGAGCTCCCTTTGCACGGGAGTCTCGCATCACACCCTGAAGAAAGTGGCCTGCTCCTCAGCTAGGGCTCTGGGCTCCAGGGGAAAGAAGGCACCAGGGCACTGCTGTCAACGGCAGGGGAGGGTTCAAGGCTGGTAGCCTGTCCTCCCGGGCGTCCCCGCAGGAAGGAGTCTTGCACTAGTACGTGTAGCTTCCTGGCTTGGCACGTTCATCCTCTCCCACCCATGACTCTTACCAGATGCATCGAGTTCGCTGTCTGTGTGACACTCACCGCCTGACCCTTCTCCCTCTCAAGGAGATGGGTTGGAAAGCAGGAAGTGTGGCCTTATAGGATAATCTCAAATCGGCTCTGATTTTTTTTTTTTTCCAGCACCCAGGGTTGAAGCCAGGGCCTGCACTGAGCTATATTCCCAGCCCTTTTTCTGTTTTTTATTTTGAGACGAGGTCTCCCTAAATCCCTAAATTGCCCAGCCTGGGCTCAAACTTTCGATACTCCTGCCTCAGCCTCAAAGTACTTGAATCCCAGACATGGGCCACCACACTCAGCTCCATTTAAACATTCCATAGTTATGTATTAAAAACCTATGAAAGGGCCGGGGATTTAGCTCAGTGGTTCTGTCGCTTGCCTTGCAAGCACAAGGACATGAGTTCAATCCCTGGTACCAAAAAAACCCACAAAAAAACAAAAAAAACCTATGAACCTATGAAGGAAGGGGCTGGGGTAGAGTTCAACAGTAGAGTGCACCCTAGCGTGCCCAAGGCCCTGGGTTTGCTTTCAGCACTGCAAACACTAAAACAAAACATTGTGATGTGGCCAGCATTTTGTTTATATTTCTTTTAATTCTTATAGCAATTATTGGTGGTCAGCTACTTCACAAATAAAGACTCCAAGGCTTGAAGAATAAATCTACCACTGAGGATTTAGCTCAGTGGTTTCACCGCCTGCTGCACAAGCGCAAGGACCCGAGTTTGATCCCCGGTACCAAAAAAAAAAAAAAAAAAGTAAAGGTCAGCCATGATTCGATCTCAAATTCATCTTTTAAATTCATGCACAGGGGCCCAGTGAGTGGAGCTCAGTTGTAGAAAGCTTTCCTAATGATACAGGGCATGTGATATAGGACCTCCTAATAATGTAAGGGAAGTATCATAACTCCCAACCTGCTAAATACTCGAAACTCCGACTTCATGTTCTCTAAAATCAAAGAATGAATTCTAGGAACAATGGAGGTTAAAAGGAAGTTTACAGAGAGAAAGAAAGCTTCTGCCTAAGAGAGACAGAAAGGGGACCAGAAAGTGGGTTGCCCACCCACCCTGCTTCTCAAAGGTGTTTTATGGGACAAAGCCACTAGGTGAGGTGGGTTCAAAGTGGGACAAAACTACAGTCAACTACTAAGATTACAGGTACAGTCCCTTAGGTAATACTGATCCAATGGGAAATCAGGAGGTGTTACCAAAACTATGATCAGCCAATAAGATTATAACAAGTATAGTCGCTTAGGTAATACTGATAAATGGGGATCAAATGGGAAAGCAAGTCACGTAGCAACACTACAAGGACTGAACAAGGATTTACTAGAAGGAAGGGGCTAGGGAGGTTTTGGTCCCCACCCAAGGTGACTGATGCCTATTTAAAATATCAATCACTGCTATTCATGCCTAGGGGAAGTGTATGGGCATAGTTGTTCTTTTTCTCGTAGCTTGGCCTTTAGTGAGTGAGCCTCAGGCTACAATTGTCTTCTATGCTGAGGGCCTGGCCTGGCCTAACTGCCTTACTCTATTTTCTAACTAGCTTAGCTGGCTACAGTACTAGCATACATGAAGCCCTGGGTTCCATCCACTACTGCAGAAAGATGAATAAAGTAAATGGCAACTTTACTGTCTCATTATGACTTAGAAATTATGAATATTTTTCATGAGGTAAGAAAGACTATCGCTTCTCAGCCTTTTGGCTAAATCAAGTGTGGTAAGAAAGACTAGACTATAAAAGATTTGTAATTGAGATGTGGTGGTACAGACCTGGAATCACAGCACTCTGGGAGGCTGAGGCAGGAGGATCACAAGTTTGAGGCCAGCCTGGGCAATTTAGCGATTTAGTAAGACCGTGTCTCAAAAAATCCAAATTGAGGGCTGGGGATTTATAATGTTCTCTTTTTTTTGGTACCGGGGATCAAACTCGGGACCTTGTGCTTTTGAGGCAGGCGGTAGCTCAGTGGTTCTGCCACCTGCTTCACAAGCGCAAGGTCCCAAGTTCAATCCCCGGTACCAAAAAAAAAAACCAAAAAAACTTTGGGCTGGGGATTTAGCTCACTGGTTTTGCCGCCTGCTGCACAAGCGCAAGGACCTGAGTTCAATGCCTGGCACCAAAAAAAAAAGAACAAAGATATTTCTGTACTGGAGATTGAACCCAGGGCCTTCATGCTGAACTACATCCTGACCCCTTTTTCTTTTTCCTATTGAGACAGGGTCTTGCTAAGTCATTATATTGCCCACAATTGGCTTAAACTTGTTTTGTGTTTTGTTTGGTTTTGGGTTTGGGTTTGTTTTGTTGTTGTTATTGTTTTGGTACCCGGGTTCTAACTTGGGCCCTTGTGCTTTCAAGACAGGTGGCAGAACCACTGAGCTAAATCCCCAGGCCCTGGTTTTGATTTTTTGAGACAGAATCTTGCTACACAGTTCAGGCTGGCCTTGAACTCGCTATGTAGCCCAGGTTGCCCTTGAACTCACAGCAATCCTCCTTTGAGTGCCTGGATGACAGCCTGAACCACCAGGCCTGGCTTCTCATATTAAATAGTTGAGCATGGGCTGGGGATTTAGCTCAGTGGTTCCACCACCCGCCTTGCAAGTGAAAGGACCAGAGTTCGATCCCCAGTACCCCCCCCCAAAAATAAAATAAATAGTTGAGCATGTTCACACAGACACTGTGATAAAAGACAGGAGGAGGACGGAAAGAGAGTTTAAAGAGAGAAATGGAAGACAGGAAAGATGAGACTGCATTCCCCCCACCTCAACCCTCTTCTTCACCTTCCACGGCACTGAGGTGGGATTTGAGTGTTTGTTTTGAAGTACTGGAGGCTGAACTCCGGGAGTGCTGAGCTACATCCCCAGCTCTTTTATTTATTTACTTTTTATTTTCAGGGAGGTGCTCACTGATTGCCCAGACTGGCCTTGAAATCGTGATCCTCCTGCCTCAGCTATAACAGACACGCATCATCATGCCCAGGGCTGAAAGGTTCTTGACAAAAACACTAGGTTTTTCTGTTTCCTAAAACCAATGGCCTCTTTTCTTAGGGTCCTGTGGATAGGCCTGTGTGGATGTCCTCATTACTGCAAGGTCAGACCCTCTTCCTCTGCAGACCCTGCATTGCCTTCCTGTGCTTTGTGTCCAGCTTCCCTGCCCGAGAGACTAATCCTCCCCACGTGGTACTGTCTGTGTCACACACAGTCTCTGCCTTCACATCTTCCCCTCCCTACACCACCCTTCCCTTCCCACTTGAGCTTCAGGATGGCCGGCCCAAATCCTCCGAGAGGTGGAGTGTGGGGACAGGTGACAGAGACCACGGTCCTCGTGAGGCCGGGCTGTGCGCAGTGCCAGAACGTTTGCCTTGCATCACAAGGCCACTGGTCTGATTCCTGGCACCTTGAAAAAGCAAAGGAAAGCATTTCCCGACGATGGCCAGCGTTCACCTCACAGCACAGTGTTGATGACTACTCGCTGTATGGCTGTGAGGTCCACGGGGCACTGTTGAGTGCGGCGCTGGGATGCAGGGCATTTGGAATCTGTTGAATGATCAAACGCCGAATTAGCTGCTGCTTCTAAGTCAGAATTACAGCTCCCATTGATGACGACTGCAGCTTATCCCAAAGAACTCATTTCTGCAGGACCTGGCCAAAACTCTGTTTGTTATCCATAAGTATAGTTTCATTGGCATTTAGTCTGAGGCAAGTAAATTACTCAATGAGGTGATTTATAAATTCGTTCTACTTAATTTTCCGATAGGAAGCTGAGCAATGTGCTGCGGTCATTGGGCTGATTTACATCAGAAAAGTGTACAGAAGAAAATGGAGGTTCTCTATCTTGCTCTTGTCTTCTGCTGGCCTCCTGTTATATAACGGGCATCCTTTTCCTTTAATTACCTTTTTCATGGCTTGAGAGCTTTGATGACTTGATTAAGCCGAGCAGGGCAGTTCCAGTCCCTACCCCTCTGATTCATTAGCCCAAACCTTATTAACTTCCTAATTCTGATCAATAAGGCACTGATGCTAAACTCTGCAAGGGCAAACTAAGGAGGCAATTTGATTTCAAGACACAGAGTCTCTACTATTTTTTAAACCATCTTTTCTTTACCTTTTAAACACAGCCATACTAGGACATAGCAATGCAATAATAGTGCCGGGAAAAGGGCACATACATTCTCTCCGTTTGTGCCTACCTCAGGAGTCGCAACAGGACTATTTGCTGACTCTGCTCGGGTTGAGTTTGCCAGAGAAAGAACATGATGATGATGGTGATTCCTCCTCTGCAGAAATGGACAGAAAACGTAGCAACAAGACCTTCTTCCCCAAATCCAAATGTAGAATGGAGTTCCCAACATCTAGAACATAGTATAAAATTCTAGACCAACACTATCCAATAGAACTATTTTAAATTTTCTAATACATGAAGCTCGTGTGATGGTGCACACCTGTAATCCCAGCACTCTGGGAGGCTGAGGCAGGAGGATTAACTCACCAAGGCCCTGTCTCAAACTAAGAAACAAAAAGGGCTCTGCAAGGGATTTATCTCAGTGGTGCCCCATCTGTCTCGCAAGCACAAGGTCCTGAGTTCAATTCCGGGTACCAAAAGAAAAAGAAAAAAAAAAAAGACAGTTTGCAAGTTGGTCTCAATCCTGTTTCCTTCCGTTTCAGAGCTGAACCAGCTTTAACCTCACATCTTCCTAGCCATCACAGGCAGCGCCAAAGCCTGAAATTCTAACCTTGAGTTATTCTGGCGCTCAGTGCAAACTGATGAAGGGAGCTCCTCCTCCACACTGCTCTTCTCCAGGGGCTGCCAAACTGCTGCCGCTCAGAGCTCAGCTCCTGCCCGGGTCCAGCGCTGGGGCCTCACTCCTTCCCTCTGTCCTCCACCTTCCAGGCTGCCTTCCTTTCGCTGTCTGCTTACCAAACCCTTACCCACCACCAAGAGGGCAGGCAGTGGCCGGGACAAAGTAATGCTTTCCCCCTACTGCTGTGTGCTAGACTACGGAGCCTAGGCGGGCCTTGAACTCACAATCCTCCTGCCTCAGCTTCCTGAGGCATGCACCGTGATGCCTGGTTTATATATATATGCTTTTATACACACACACACACACACACACACATTTCTAGCTGGGGCATGGTGGTGCATTCCTTTAATCCCAGCACTAGGGAGGCCGAGACAGGAGGACTTGGCCACTCTAGGCTACCTGGTAAGTTCAAGGGGAGCCTGAACTACATGAGCAAGACCCTGTCTCAAAAAAACAAAATAAAATTGGGTGTGGTGGCATATACTTGTAGTCCCAGCGCTCTAGAGGTTGAGGCAGAGGATCACCACCAGTTGGAGTCCAGCTGGGGCTACATAGTGAGTTCAAGGCCAGCCTGAACTACAGAGTGAGACCTCCTCTCAAAACATACATACATACATACATACATAAATGCACTTCTATTTTTTAAATTAGAAGCCAAAAGTTGGCACCTAGTTTGTAATTTCATCCCTACCTCATCTCTGAAATGTAGGACAATCAGAAATGAGCAGTCATAAGCATAAATTCAGAAGCAATACATACAACACACACTTTCCACAAATTGCATACTACAACAACAACAACAAAATTGCATACAACACTGACCTTTTCATGTGAAGGATGAGAAATATAGAAATGTGACTATAACCCACAGTAATATCTCCTAGGTACAGGCAAGATAACTACTTTTACTGGTGCTGGGGATTGAACCCAGGGTCTCAGGCTAAGCACGCTACCACTGAGGTACAAACCCAGGGTGATCAAAGTGCACGGCGAATGTTTACATTTTAAAAATTCATTTGGGCCGGGATTTAGCTCAGTGGCTCTGTGCCTATCTTGCAAGTGCAAGGTCCTGAGTTCAATCCCAGGTATTAAAAAAAAAAAAATTCATTACAGTGAAAGACATATTGGCATTAATCCACCTCAAAATTCTCCCTCTCCCTTGGAACACACTTATCCCATTGTTTCTGCCACTTTCTGTTTGGTTTTGTTGTTATTATTGTTTGTTTGTTTGGCTTTGTGTTTTTTGGTAGTGGGGATCTAACCGGAACCACTGAACTAAATCCCCAGCAATTTTTAAATTTTTTGGTGTTTTTGAGACAGGGTCTCACTATGCAGTTCAGGCTGCTTAGACTCACCACGAAGCCAGGCTGGCCTGGAACTTGCAACAACCTCCCACCTCCCTCAACTTGTGAAGTGCTGGGATCAAAGGTATGCACCACCACGCCCAGCTCTTGACACTTTCTGAAGCAGTTCTGGGAGACCTCTTTTATGTACCTTTATGAGGTGTGATTAAAAAATACAGTAGGGCTGGGGGTTTAGCTCAGTGGTTCTGGTGCCTGATCCGAAAGTGCAAGGTCCCCAGTTTGATCCCAGGTACTAAAAAAAAAAAAAAAAATACAATGAGTGCTGCTGCCAAGTGCCATTCAATAGAAATGCAGGCTCATAGAAACATTGCAGTGTGTCTTCATCCATGTATTTACCTTATTCGCTGGATCTGGCACCATGCAACTTCTGGCTTTTCCCCCAAAGTCAAAATGATCAGGAAAGGTAAACCTTTTGAAATGACTCAGGACACTGAGGCAGCCATGACAGCACAACTAAAGACTCACGAAAGAGGATTCTAGAACTGCTTCAGAAAGTGGCAGGGGCCGGGGATTTAGCTCAGTGGCACCACACCTGCCTCGAAAGTGCAAGGTCCTGAATTCAATCCCAAGTAACAAAAAAGAAAAAGAAAGTGGCAGGAATGATGGGATGTGTGTCTGAAGCCAAGGGGAGTGTTTTGAGGAGAATTAATAGCAATGTGTCTCTTACTGTAATAAATTTTAGAAATTTACATTTTTCTTTTCTTTTCTTTTTTTCTTTTTGGTACCGGGGATGGAACTTGGGACCTTGTGCTTGTGAGGAAGGCAGTGGAACCACTGAGCTAAATCCCTGGCCCGACAGTCCCATTTTTCAAGCACACCTCATTTCCATCCTGGGAAAAGTAGTTTGAGTGTTGAGCAATAATTAACATGTTGATCTGGGGATTTAGCTCAGTGGTTCCATCCCCAGCCTCACAAGTGCAAGGTCCTGAGTTCGATCCCCGATACCAAAAAAAAAAAAATTAATAATAATTAACATGTTCATTCAGAATGCTTATAAGTAAATAAAATGCAGTGTTCAAAGGAAAAACATAAATTTCCAAATGTTAAAGAAGAGGTTATTAGTATATTTTTAAATGGATAATGTTGGGTCTTAAATCACTAATGTATTGAGATTCTACTAGATAATTTTTGTGTTTTTTTGGTCTGTTTTGTGCTGCTTTTGTTTTGTTTTGTGTTGTTTTTGATACAGGGTCTCCCCAGACCTGTGATTACAGGTGCATGCCACTGTACTTGGCTCTGATACAAAAGGTGTTGAAGATACACTGGATCCTCAAGTTACAACCAGTCTGATATACAAACAACTTGGGTTACAACCAGAATTTTTGTGTCTTACCTTAAGGGATCCCAGCATGCCTCAGCTTGTGTCAGTAGGAAGCTTGTGCTGACAATCAGCAAAGGGTTCTTTTACTTAATTCAGACTGAGATCATGAATTGGCAAAGTACAGCTCTGCTAGCAGTCCTGATGTGACCAGATGACACCAGGTAATGCAGGTGCCAGCAGTTAATACAGCCAGTAGTTGACACAGCCAGCTGTTGGCTGAGGTAGGATAGTGACGAATTGAAATTTGAAGTCAGCCTGGGTTACATAGTGAGTTCAAGGCCATAAGGAACTACATAGAAGACTTTGTCTCAAAATTTTAAAAGAAGATAAAAATTATTACCCTCATTTTACAAATAGAAAACAGCTCAGAGCATTATTTTGTCCAAAAGCATAAAATTAATTTTATCTGTTATTTTATTTTAATTTAATAGTTTTTGTGGCATGGGGAATTAATTGAATCCAGGGCCTTTCCTCTACTCTAAAATTTTTTACAAATATTTTGAAACAGGGTCTAAATTACTATATGTAGCTAAATTGCTGAGACTGGGCTCCAATTCACAGCCCTCCCATCTCAGCCTACCAGAGTGCTGGGATCACAGGCATGCACCATCACACCTGGCAAGTTCTGTCTTTAATGTCTAGTCTCTAAATTATTACATTACCTTACTTGTCAGAAAATAAAAGATGGGGCTGGGCATGGTGGTGCACACCTGTAATCCCAGCACTTGGGAGCTGAGGCAGGCAGATTTCTTTGAGTTCAAGGCTGGCCTGGGCTACATAGTAAGCTCAGGGCCAGCCTGAACTATGTAGTAAACCCTGTCTCAAAAAAAAAAAGAGGGCCGGAGATTAAGCTCAGTGGTTCAGCAGCCTGCCTCAGAAGCCCAAGGTCCCAAGTTCGATCCCCAGTACCAAAAAAAAAGTTAGGATCCTGAGTACCTGAAGATATGTAAAGAGTTTTGCTTTGTTTTGTTTACAGAGCTGGGGATCAAACCCAAGGCCTAACACATGCTAGGCAAGGGCCCTACCACTGAGCTACATCCCTTAGCCCAAAGATTTTTTCTTTTTTTTGGTATTGGGGATTAAACTCCGGACCTTCGCACTGAGCTAATTCAAAGCTCATTAAAGAGAATTTCATCAGAAATAGCTTCAGTGACATTCACTCTAAGTATAAAACAAAAATGTTACACTATTCTTTCTTGGGTAATCAACTGCCCCAAAGAGAAAAAAGAAGATTCCAGTTCTTCTGTTTGAAAATTTCAACCACAAGGACTCAGAAAGAAAGAGGGCCTAGGGCACAGGTCTGTCTTCCCAGCACCTTGGGAGGCTGCAGCGGGAGGTCACAACTTCCGGTCCGGCCTGGCAATTGCATGACTTAGAGAGACCCGCCCTCCCAACCCCCCACCCCCTTTTTGGTACCGGGGATCAAACTCAGGACCTTGCGCTTGGGAGGCAGGCGCGGTGCCACTGAGCTAAATCTCTGGCCCCCAAAAAACCTTTTTCTTTTTTTTTTTTTTACAGTGCTGGAGATGTAGCTCAGTGTGAAGGTCCTGGGTGCAACCCTATTACCATTAAAAAAAAACAAAAGACTTAGAAGAATGCTGTCCTTTTCAATAAGGTATTGACGATGCTTTTAGGGAAAACAGAGGGTGCTTTTAGCGATAAGGTATTGTGCTTTGATGACTTTGCAAGAAATACATCTTGAGGGGGCCGGGGGCTTAGCTCAGTGGTTCTGTCGCCTGCCTCGCAAGCTCAAGGACCTGAGTTCGATCCCCGGTACCAAAAAAGAAAAAAGAAATACATCTTGAAATTAAAGATTTCACAATGAGCACTTCCTAGACTGGTTTGGAGCGCTTAGATTTTGGTTCTCTTTACCGTCCTACATGGCCTTGTCACATAAACCAGGAACGCGTGTGCCAGCCTCTGAACACTAGTGATTTCCTGGGGAAGGTCCGCTGTGCTCAGGTACCCAGCGCTCGCTCGGCTCGGCTCCCACCTCCGTGGGCTGGGCTCTGGTCGGACAGGAGCTTCATTTCCTGGTCCACCGCACTGGGCAGTGCTCCCACAAACGGGCCTCTCCAAGACCAGGAAAATCCCCGCCTCCCTCCCTCGGGACTCTGCTGCAGCAGTTGTTCTGGGACATTAATGGATGTCCTAACCAGCCTGTGTTTTCTAAAGCAATGACACTTCAAGGTCATATCCTTAAAATGAGGCATGTTCAATATAATGACTACAAAAAAACCTGCTCTGCAGCACACAGACGTCCCCGCGACTTCCATCAATCATATCTCGGCCTTTCCCTGCGCCAAGTGTAATGGGCATTCTTATGCTAAGAGGCATTTTAAAAATCAACAAATCAATTTCTAGTAAGAAGCCTTTTGCATGAGTTAGAGCAAGTGTTCAATCAGTACCCAATGCTTACTCAGACCACGCAAGGGAAAAGAACATAGAAATAGAAACAATGGAAACGAAGCTTTTGTATATAGGGAGGGGAGGGGGCTTAGAGTGGGGGAATGGGACAAAATAAAATTAAATTAAAAAGAAAAAGGCCGGGGACTTAGCTCAGTGGTTCTGGCGCCTGTCGCCCCAGCGCAAGGTCCCGAGTTCGATCTCCGGTACCAAAACAATAAAAAATTTAAAAATTAAATTAAATTTAAAAAACCTAGAAATACATTTTGCATGAAAAAATTGGTCACATCTCAAAATGTAGGCTCCAAGTTTAAAAGAATAATTTTGTTTTGTTTTTGGAGACAGGGTCTCGATATGTAGTTCAAGCTGGCCTTGAACTCACCATGTAGCCCAGGTCTCAAACTCACAGTGATCTTCCTGCATCAGCCTCCTGAGTGCTGCCATTACAGGTGTGCACCACCATGCCTGGCCAAAAAAAAAAAAAGAAAAAATTCTGGTCTTCACCAAACTACCTGAGACTATAGGTTACTAGCCTTTTGTCTGAAAATTTCAGTAAATAATTTTTAATGTTTTGGGGTTTCTTGTCCAGGGATCTGAACTGCTCAGTAAATCTAAAGAATGAATATATTGCACTGTGGATGTAGATGCAATTTTAAGAAGTAAAAAAGGAAATGTCTAGAATGAAGGGGAAAATAAATGGGAAAACAAAATACAATTTGGAATTTGAGGGAATGTGCCAAAAACATTGCATGGTAAATCACAGGAAGTTATTCCAGCCGGGGATTTAGCTCAGTGGTTCCGGCACCTGCCTCGAAAGCGAAAAGTCCACAGTTCGATCCCCGGTACCAAAAAAAAAAAAAAGAAAAGAAAAAGAAAGTTATTCCAGAAGCAGGGAATGGCGATGCATGCCTGTAATTCCAGTTACTGGGGAGGCTAGGCCAGGAGGATCACAAGTTTGAGGCCAGCCTGGGCAATTCAGCAACTTAGTGAGACCCTGTCTCAAAATTTAAAAAAGAAAAAGAAAAGCCAGGGATGTAGATCAGTGGCACCGCACCTGCCTGGCAAAAGCATGGTCCTGATGGGCCGGGGATTTAGCTCAGTGGTTCCACTGACTGCCTCGCAAGCACAAGGTCCTGAGTTCAATCCCCGGCACCAAAAAAAAAAAACTCAACCAAGAG